CGATCAATAAATGCACTTTGTAATTGGTTCTGTGTCTTTTTATATTCAAAAGTGATGTGTGCCGAGTCTGTCGGGCAGGAACCAATAGTTGAACTCTCTCAAGCAGTGACCCGCTCTTGATAAAACCACCTATTAATTTAGCAAGAAATAGGAGTAAAGTCTGTTTCCTTCTGCATTCCAGACTCTGCATGCCGCAAAGCTTTAATCTTATTTGATAACATGTGTTATGGCTATGAAATCGGTGTTTAAAGAGCAGGTATATTACTAATTTACGTTGCACCTTTGCACCAGGCCATTGTAAAGTGTCATGATTGCTTTTGTGTTATTCACGAACCTATTACGTCTCTTGATGAAGCCAAACATTCTGAGGGCTTTGCATACTATGGAATCTATATGGTTGTTAAAAGATATTGTGGTATTAAAAATAATGCCCAGATCAATAACTGTCGAGGATCTATCTAGGTTGACGCTGCCAATACTGTAACAGTTAAAAGTAGGATTGTGGGATCTTGTAAAATGCAAGGTTGTGCACTTAGAAATATTTATAGAAAGAGCGTTATTTTTTACACTAGGTAGCAAACCTGTTTAGGTCAGACTGTAATGTGGAGTTATTACCAGTGTTTCTACTAAAAAACTTTAAATTATCCGCGAAAAGAAGGCATTGGCTATTAAGAAAGCAGGACGTAACATCATAAAATAATAAGCAAAACAATAGGGGACACCGGATAGGACTGAAACGTCACATGATACGGAATTATGCACTATGACACGTTGACACCGATTACTCAAATACGACTTAATCCAGTAAAAATAAAAAACAAGAAATACCGATTTCGGAGAGTTTATTGAGTAGCAATTCATGATAGACACTGCCAAAAGCTTTTGACAGATCAGTGTAGATGGTGTCAACCTGGTAACCATTTTCAATTTATGAAATTAAGAAGTCTTGATAGATTGCCAGATTAGTAGATTTCGAGCGACCTTGATAGAAGCCATGTTGTTGAGGTGTAAAACATTTCATTTGTTAGTATGGATTCAAATAGTTTTGCAATTATCTATATAATGGAAATATCTATAATTCTTTATATTGCTTTTATCACCTTTCTTGTAAACTGGCATAAAGGCTGTATGTCACGATACTAAATTAAGTACTAAATTTAGCACTAAATTAAGTCATTAATTTAGTACTAAATTTAGAACTGAAAATATTTTTTTTCCGTTTGCAACGATACCAATTTTTAGTACTAAATTTACTATGGGCGCACGCGCATTGACGTATTAATACGTGAAATTAGTAGAGAAATGAAATATTCTGTGTAAAACAGACAAGTGAAGTAAATGGTGTTTTTATTATCAATTTGATACTAGTTGACTTGACAACCAAATACAGCATAAAAACCACGGAAAAACACAATAAAACCTACAAAATCAAACAGGCGAACTTTATTCAAGGCGATAATGTGAAATTGTCGCTAATTAAAAATAAAAGGGTACAGAAAATACCGTCGTGTCAACTTTTTCTATGAAAAACTTCTGCGCAACATTTCGGCGCACTTTTAGTACTTAATTAATGACTTTTTTTAGCACTAAATTTAGTACTAAATTTGCTGTTTGCAACGTGAATTTTTTTAGTACTTAAAAAATGCATTAATTTAGTTCTAAATTTAGTACTTAATTTAGTATCGTGACATACAGCCTTTAGGTGGGAAAACTTCCAAGCAGATGGAAATATTCCACTATCAAATGATTTTTGAAAAATTTGGCTAAGTGGGATTGACAAGGAGTCAAGACTTTATTTTAGAAGATATTTCACAAGTAGTGAAAGTGTGTATGGCTATAGTGGAATAAAATGGCACAGCGGGAAGATCAGTTTTTCGGTTTAAGTTGTCTTTAGAATAGTACGTTTGGAAATAAGATGCGAAGGCGTTTGCAATTTCTTCAGGATCACTGAGTTCATAGTTTCCGTACTTCAATAAATTAGGCAATCCCTACTCTCGCTGCAAATAAATGTCTAAAAATGTTTTATGTTTTGTGGAATTAAGTGCTCGGAGTTTGAAATAAACATTAAATAACACCAGTCAGTTCGAAATTTTACTTCGCGCCTTTTAATGGAGTATTTAATGTAATCACTTTGAAGCTTACTCCTCTGTTATATTTAATGGAGCTTATTCTTTTCAACAATCAATTTGCGTAATACAGCGTCAAACTACACAGGATATTTGTTACCTCTTATCTTCTTCTTTGGGACATATTGGTCGATACCTATTTCTATGATGTTGGAAAATTGTTTTACAATTTCGGTGATGTCATGGTAATGAGTTATGAATGACCAGTCAGTGTTTATAAAGAAATTGTTTAGACCAGTGAATTTGGCTTTATGGAACTGATGTACATTTTTTACTGGTTTATTATCTCTTAAGTAAGCGAGGTTTTTTATTTGTGAAGTTATAAAAAAGTGGGGGATGTAGAGGATCAATTTTCACCAGTGAAAAATCGCTAGATATGCATTCAATTGATTCAAACTCGTCCACAAACATAAGATCCAGTATCCATTGGAGCGAATTGAAAACGTAGTTTATTTGATTGAGTTCATGGAAACACATTGATCAATTAGAGCCTCGGTGGTAGCAGGTTGAATTCTAGTTGGAACAACAAAATTATCTTCAATTTCCCATTGGACATGTGGAAGATTGAAGTCATCACATATTATGAATTTATGATTTTTAACTTTGCTTTTTAGAGATTTGCATAAATCGCAGAAAAGATAAATAGCTTTCTAATGATGAGTTTGGAGGAATATACACACATCCAATTACTGTGTTTATTTTGGCATTAACCCAAATATCATTATATTTCGTAGGTGTTGGAGTATCAATCTTGTCGGTTGTAACATGAGGTAAAGTTGCTACTAAAGTTCCACCTCCTCGGCTGCAATTGAGGAGGGCATAATTTCTGTCCCTGAATACAACATATCTATCGCCGAAAAATTTTATCACCTAGGCCGTTGCGTGATAGCTGCACATTTGCTTTGAAACCTCATAGAAGAAACTATGGCTCAGGAATTGGTGTGATCAGAGTTCTGAGAAATACATTTGCTGCAAAACAGAACATCAATATTTTATTCTTCCTTGAATCAAGTGAAAAGAGCTGTGAAGTAAAAAAAAATATGATGGGTTTACACAATATATTTTTTTTTATTATAAACTTATGTATTTTGTAAATGGTTTAAAAACATATGACAAATAAATAAAATAAATAAACTTCAACTAATTTATATACTGTTTTTGGGGTTTCTTGTTTCTTGTTTCTTGTTTTTTTTTTTAACCATGTAAATGGTTGTTTTTATGATTGACTCGAGACTTACCTGGAACCAGCATCTAGAAAGAACCACAAGGAGAGCGGAAACCTCATTAATGATGGCAAGGCGATCCTTTGGAAAAAAGGGGATTAAAACCAGACATGGTATACTGGCTTTATAACATGGTGGTGAGACCCATAATAACATACGCAGCTTTGGTGTGGTGGCCAAAGACACAGCAAAGGAAAGCAATAACGAGGCTAAGCAAGGTACAAAGACTTGCCTGCCTCGGAATAACGGGGGCAATGAAAACAACCCCCACTGCTGCAATGGAAGCACTAATAGGACTCCCACCTCTTCACTATGTGATACAAGGGGAGGCAAGATTAGGTGCTTACAGATTAGGGAATACACTGGGAAATCTTGACATTAGGCCAGGTCACATGAGTATCTCAAGGTTAGTGACAGGAGACGTGCTAGACATGAGATCAGACCACATAACCAAGAGGTACTCTTTTAATACTCCCTTTGAGGTTTTAATACAGGAAAGAGCGGAGATCACCATAAGGGAGCCCAATGCCCAACGACAGGAACAAACCTGGTATACAGACGGGTCTAAGACTGCGGAAGGCACTGGGGCAGGAGTATTCTCCAAAAACCCTGATACTAACCATAGCTATGCTATAGGAATACATTCCTCGGTATTTGAGGCCGAGGTATACGCAATTTTGCAATGTGCAAAAACGAACAATGAAAGAGCTGTCGAAAATCAGCATATTCAAATAATGTCAGACAGGCAAGCGGCACTTAAGGCCATATCGAGTCAGAAAGTTACGTCGAGGCTGGTATGGGAATGCATCGAAGAACTAAGAACACTGGCAGACCGAAATAGAGTAAAATTATTTTGGGTGCCAGGTCATAAAGGGATCGAAGGCAACGAAAAGGCTGACGAACTTGCAAAAAGAGGGTCAGAAGAAACACCGGAACCAGACACAAACCCAGGAGTACCAAAAAGTACAGTCCGGGGTTTTATAAATGACTGGATTCGGGAACAACATATCAACTATTGGGGAAGCACCCCAAAACAGGCACATGGAAAAGCCTTCATAGGCAGACCATGTCCCAAAAGAACTGGAGAACTACTCTTAATGAATACGAACCAGTTGAAAGTGATAACAGGGTTCATGACTGGGCACGCCCCAGTAAAGGGACACTTGAACAAAATTGGCATGTACAATGGGGAACTCATGTGCCGACTATGTCACAAGAAACCAGAAACGGCCAAACACATACTGTGCGAATGCGAAGCTCTAGATCGCAAAAGACAGGCTCTTTTTGGACAACCCCAGGTTGATCCAACAACGTATAGAACCCACTCACCCAAGGATCTGTACAAACTTGTACAAGGTACAAAGGTGATAGAGTGGGTGCTATGAACTAACATGGGGTAAAACACAATAAGCCAATAGGCTTCAGTGTTATTCGGAGACACATAGTCAGACGAGCCCAGGAAAAAAAAAATGGTTGTTTGGCACTCTTTTTTGTCTCATGCTTGACCGAATCTTTACATTTTTTAAATGGCAGTCTTAAAAATCTTGTGAATATTTCCTAGGAGCTTCTCATTGATACAAATTTTACATAATATTAGTCCTAGGAAAAGTTACAATTTAAATAAAAATAATTTTTTTGTTATTTATTTTAGTCGTTCTCCAAAATATTTACAAAACACCAAAGGCAGTAAAATTTCTGAATCGGACGAAAACAAATTAAATGAACAAAACGAAAAGAAGCCAAAAGCTATTAGGCATATCATATTGATAAGGCATGGACAGTATAATTTAAATGGTAGTTCTGATACAGAGAGACTGTTGACAAAACTAGGTAAAATGTTTTGAATAATTATTTCTGGGTATACAAAGTGTAACTTAATATATTTTAGGTCGATTACAGGCTGAATATACTGGCAAACGACTGAAAGAACTGGATTTGCCTTACACTGAAATGGTAAAATCTACGATGTCAAGAGCACAAGAGACTGGTTCTATCATATCACTACATTTACCAAAAGTATTATTTTTATGAACAATTCTTAATAATATTTTTTGATTAACCTTAATTAACCTAAACCAATTGTATTTAACAATTAATTTTTTGTAGATTCCTATTGTAGAAAACTGTGATCTTTTAAGAGAAGGCGCACCCATTCCTCCAGAACCCCCTCTAGGCAACTGGAAACCGGAAAACTATGTAAGTTGTTTTCACTAAAGTTAATTTAATGATATTTTGCAATAAACACCTCTTCTTTAATTTTGTAATTAATTACAATACACAGGGTGATCAACTTATACTCCGGAGTTTGATATCTCCGTTGTTCTGAGGGATACGGACAAAAGTTTTAAATACAAATTATAGACAGAATCCAGCTCCACAAATTAAAATTATTTCATAATATACAGGGTGTTTCATAAAGTCACAGTATACCAAAATTATGTTTTTTTAGTGGCACACCCTATATGTTATCTCGAATTTGAATTTTGCTTTTTCCCAATTCCGGCAATATAAAGTTTTATCAGGTTCTTCAGGGTACTTTTAAAGAAATGGCCATTTTTATGTGAAAATGTTAATGAAATCGTCAACCTGTATTATTTAGAATCGACAATTGAAGGTTAATATCTCAAGGCTAGATTAAATTAGCAGTAGTCTAGTTTTGTTGCACTTCATCATATTTTTGATATCTTTTATTTTGTATACAGGGTAATCCAAAACTCATGAAAAAAAAAATAATTTAATTAGACCCCAGTCCAGATTTAAACACGGGCCTCTCGCATGGAAGCCAAACGCTCTGTTCTCACCTCAATTGACACACCATTTTAGTTTTAATACTCTTAATTAAATTAGTTTCATGTAGTTTGATTAAAATTTATTATTTATTTGTAAATGTGGACGAAATAGAAATGCTATTATTTATCGATTCTACACAAGAATAGCTCATTTTTACGTATATTTTAATTTCAATAACCAAAAAATATACTCACAATTAGTTTGACAGAATTGTTACTTATATAAAATTTAAAAAATAAGTAGCCGGGTGATTAAAATATGAAGTGTGATTGGTAGATTTCATTTTTTTACAGTGTTCTTACTATAGTCTATTTTTATGTATGAGAGAGTATTAAAATAATAAAGCGTTCGTAATCCATAGGCGTAGCACTTCGTTTAGTAGACAGTTAAAATATTTTTTGAAGTAATTCCTCGAGTATACACTTATATTTTCACCTAATTAACCTGCTTATAACTTCTAAATAGCTGATGGTAAAAAAGTGCAATTTTTTCTAAAATGTTTTATTTTTCCACAAGGTATGTTAAGAAGATTGTGTCAAACGGGTTATGTAGGTATAAGGGTTTAAACTTTGACTTTTAAACAACGTTACGTTCATAAATAATAATTTTAATATAAAAACTACTTCTTACCTACAAATCCAAATCAGAATCGAAATCAGAAGATGAACTGTCGCAACCAATATTTACAATGAGTGGCTCGATCATTTCATCAGTAATATTGTCCAACTTCCACATTTTCTCTTCTTAAGTGTAAGGGGTTTCTCTTCTTCTTTAATCATATGATTTACTGCCTTTCCCAGTTTTCAGGCTTCACATTATTTACAGCCTCCAAAAACAACTGTTTAACATCACTCATTTTAAAAGAATTATTTTTTCTTGAAACTTCTCCCTTTATCTGTGCCCATATCAGTTCAATCGGGTTTACTTCGCAATGATATGGTGGTGATCTAACCACCGTCATCCCACGATTTTTTGCAATTTCATCAATTTCATATTTTTTGAATTTCTCTTTATGAAGGGAACACAAATGATACAGTTCTTTTCTCACAGAACCGGGATGGAACTTAATATTCTTTATATTTAGCCAATTCTGTAAATCTTTTTTTAACCACTTGGTTGTGGGCATTTTTTCTATAATTCTCGAGTGATAACTTGCATTATCCATTACTATTATACAGTTCTGAGGAAGAAGATCTATAATTTGTTCGAACCACTCTTTAAAGACATCAGCATTCATGTCCTCATGGTAGTCACCGGTACAAGTAGATTCAAAAGTCAATAAACTACCTTTAACAAAACCGTTTGAACTACCGATGTGTACTATTATTAGTCTGCGCCCCTTTCCTGATGGTGGATTTAAACCAGTAGATAAATTATTTAAAAAAGCCTGTCTTCGACTTGTAACATCTTGCCAAAATTTATTTGGTTTATGTCCCTTATTGATCCATGTTTCATCTAAATAAAATATATTTCTTCTTTGGTTTCTCATTTCTTTTATAGTCCTTAGGTAATTTCTTCTCCATACTACAATATCGCTTCTTTCTATTAAAATAGACTTTCTGGAATGTTTTTTTCATAGAAAACCTATTTCTTTTAAAAGTTTCCATAGTGTGCTTCGACTCATTTCAGGGTAATCCTTATCATCTCGAACCGTGGCAAGAACTTTGTCTACTGTCGGAAATTCTTTTCTAAAGAAGAACGCATGCACTTTCCTTCGAAGTCTTTCTTTCAAAAGATTTTCTAATTGAAATTTTGGTTTTCCTGGAGCTTTACGTGCTGTTTGAAACTCGCCACATTTCTCTTCTTTAACAACTCTGTAAATCGTAGATTTCCCAACACCAAGCGTATTACTAACTAATTCCACTGTGTCATCAACACTTTTACATAAATGTTTGTCTGTAAATGATTTAAAGCAATTAAATATTAATGTTTTTTCATTAACTGTTAAAGGACCGATTTTTGTCGTTTACGCGGCCCTTCCAAATTTTCCATGATCACACTAGAATTCACACTGCACCTTGCAAGTTGCAACTAAACGACATTTAGTAAACTGCCAAGAATACACAACTTGGACCTCCTTACTAAATGGAAAACCTATAATCGCATTTTCGGTGAAATTTGTTGGGAAGATATTTATCTACTTATAATTCGATTACTGTAAGAAATTCTTGGAATTAAAATAAAACAAAATTGGCAAATAGGTACTTATTGAAAATAATCATAAGATACGGCTATGTAATCTTTAATACACAGGGCTTTTGGCCTGTCCAAACCTTTTTCTATTGTTCTGTACAGCTTATGTTTATAAAGGACCAATAAAAGACCCAAAACTTGTAATAGCTCAGGTACATTTATTACAATTTTAGGAAATATTTAGATTATTCTGTAAAAATATTTAAAATGACTGTACTAAGTTTTGCATTAGAAATGCTGTTTTATTACTCTCTCATACATAAAAATAGACTATAGATAGAATGGATATGAAATATATTCGTTCAGTTGAACGCAATGGCATACTTTTTCGTTAATGTCCTTGTTGGTGTAGAAAAGTACGTTTTCCTAATTATCATGAAATTTTCCTAATTCGTAATTTTATAAGAAACAGTGTTGTATAAACTTAAAACACGTTGTTTTCACATTTCTCTTTTAAGAAGTTTTACCAAGACGGTTCAAGGATAGAAGCAGCTTTTAGGAAATACTTCCACAGAGCTGATGCTGATCAGGAAAAGGACTCGTATACAATTTTGGTCTGTCATGCTAACGTCATTCGCTACTTCGTGTGCAGGTAAATACCTAGAGATTACGTTTTTTGTTTTAATAAGAAGATTAGGGATAAGAAGGCGAATCGGCATACTCAAAATGCGGTCTTAAAAAACGAACGCTAATTGAGCTTTTATCCATCGCAGAGGCGCTGGTGTTGTTAGATACGTTAAAAATACATGGCTTGGAAATTATACATAATTTTGTGAAAATAATAAAAATAAACTTGTGTATTACTAAATAAAGCACAGAAAATACTGTTGTATTTGGAGTGAGGGTAGCCATATGTGAGTAGTAGGGATTAAGTGTAAGGGGTTAAAGAAAAGGTCCTTTATTTCTCACAAATTGACTTGTGAGAAATAAAGGACGGCAACGTCGCATCTCGAAATGTAGTTCGTATAAAAATTGTTCTGAGAAATAAATTAAAAAATTGCAGTTAATACTCCTAGAAAAATATTTTAAGTGATTTTTCCAATTTCACCAGTGCATCTATCATCACAGTAAGTGTTTGCACCAACTTTTTAAGTGTATTATAGAAGAAATAAGCCTATGTTTTGATTTTTTTTTATTAATACAATATTTCTTATCTCAATTATTGGAATATTTTAATATACAAAGTTTGTACCTTGTTGCCAAGTCAAAAATAATCTTGGAAATTAAAGGAATATTAAAGACTATAATAAATATTATGAGTCTAACAGAAAAACAATCCTGCAAAAATGTTTCCGATAATATGACAATAAATGAATTATATAATCGCCTAGTTGAAAACAATACTAAACAAACTGCAGATATTACGGGAAAAATAGATCATAGCATTGAACAACTGACAAATAAGTTAGAAGCAGCACATAAAAAATTGAAATACTAGAAAATAACTGTGTCAATCTGGAAAGAAAACTTCGAAGAAATAATATCGCAATTTTTGGCCTTGTAATAAAAGATCCTATCCTCGAAAACATTTTGCAAACTTTGAATAACCTACTGGGAATAAATTTAAATAAAAATGATATCAACTTTATAAGGGTTCCAAAAGAAGAACATGAGAAGCTACCAATTATCATCGAATTTATTTCCTTATATAAAAAACAAACAATCTTCCAAAACGTTCAAAAGCTAAAAAACTCTAAAATATCTATTGCCAATGATATGTGCTATCAAGATAGAATCGACTATAAAGTTCTTAAAAGACATCTAAATATTGCCAAAGATCAAAATCTACCTGCTAAGATAAAGGGTAGAACTATTGAGATAAATGGAAATATTTACACACCCAACGATCTTCGTAAAATAGAAGGACAGTGTGAAACTAATGATGGCATCAGATCTGATTCCGATTCCAACCGAGAAAGTGACGCAGAGGAGTTGGTAGAAGAAAAACCCAAATCCAAAGGACAAGAGAAAAGAAAAAGCATTATCTACAGCCCACCAGAAGAAAACCACAGAGTACTTAGAAGAAGATTTGATCAAAAGCGTTAATTTAGCTTACATTGTCACTTCTTTTGCTTTATTAAATGTGTTTTCTGTATATAGGTACATCACTTATTATTAATATTAATAGTTCTTTTTTTTTATAATTTTTTATATTTTATCATGGGTGACATTGCTCATCTCAATACTAGGTCGCTATTACCAAAAATTGATTACTTTAGGGATATGTTACAAAACATAAATTTTGACATTATATGTTTATCAGAGACTTGGTTGAACATACAATTGACTGATAACATGATATATGTTCCTGGATATAAAATTATTCGAAAAGATAGACACACTAGGGGCGGAGGTTTGGCATTTTTTATTAAAAGTAAATACACAGTAAATAGAATAGAATCTTACAACTTTACAAATGACAGATTTGAACAAGAATGGATAAGAATTACAATAGATAAGAAAAAAATTGCTGTAGGATGTGTTTATCATCCACCCCCTAGAATTCAAATGGACGCATTTTTAGACGCATGGCAGGATACTATTTCTGCCATGTACCTGGAACATGACCATGTCATATGTACGGGTGATTTCAATTTAGATTACCTAGATCATGACCATCCAACTGTAAAAGGGCTCACAATGTTATTAGAAGCGTTTGATTTGGAACAAATTATTTCGGAACCAACTCATATCTCCCTGACCTCTCAAACTTTACTGGACTACATAATTGTTAGCAAATCACTAAGTGTAATTGAATGTGGCACTTTAGACGAGTCATTTATTTCAAATCACTCCCTTGTATATGCCTTATTTAAACTTGATGGTACCGTTAATAATAATTTACCTATAACTTATCGAGATTTTTCTAAATTTAATCTTCAAAATTTTGAAAATGATCTTAAAAAACATAACTGGCAAAATATTATTAATTCCAGTGATATTAATGAGAAGGTAAATCTACTTAATAACTATATAAACTGTACATTTGATTGTCATGCCCCATACAAAACAAAACTATTTCCAAAAAAAACCGTCTCCGTGGCTAACAAATAATATTAGATTTATGATCTCTTTAAAAGAAAAGACGTTTCGGAAATTTAAGAAAACAAAACTATTAGTTCATTGGAACTATTACAAAGATATAAAAAATTATACTAATATCGCAATAAAATCAGAAAAAAAAGCTTTTATTAATCACTGCTTAAAAAAATCAAAAACTACAAAAGAAAAATGGAGCACTTTAAAACACCTTCACTTAATAAGAAATAAAAAATATAATTCTGAGTTTGATTTTGACTGCAATGCAGACAATATTAATAATTACTTTCTTGATACTGTTGGAAAAGATAGTACTATTTCTCAAGATCTTGTTCGTTATTATGAAAACAATCGTCAACAAAACTTCCCTAATACTTTTAGATTTACTCCTGTTACTGAAAATGAAATTAGAAAATAATTATTAACATAAAAACTAAAGCTAGAGGAACAGATGATATAGATATAACACTTATAAGATTCACATGTCCATTTATACTGCCATATATAAGCAATATCATAAACTACTGCTTAACCCTTTCTGTGTTCCCAGATCAGTGGAAAGTAGGTAAGGTAATTCCAATCCCAAAAATACAAAACCCCACTAATTTAAAAGATATACGACCAATCACCATTCTTCCAACATTTTCTAAAATAATTGAAAGGGTCATGGAAACTCAACTTCGTACCCACTTAGATACTTATAATATCTTCCCCTGAGGTGCAATCTGGATTTAGGCCGGGATATAGTTGTGGTAGTGCATTGCTAAATATCGCTGATGACATTTTTAGGGAACTAGATAAGGGAAATGTCGGAGCACTGATCTTGTTGGACTACAGCAAGGCCTTTGACACAATTAGTCACATTGTGCTTTTTTTCACAATTAAAATTTATAGGTGTACATGAGTCAGCCATAGATCTGTTTAAAAATTACTTCAATCGCAGACGTCAAGTAATTACATATAAAGGACACACCTCAAACGAAGGTGAAATTAAAAGAGGGGTAGCTCAAGGTTCAATTCTTGGGCCCATTTTATTTACCATTTACACTAGCAAATTTCCTACTTGTTTAAATTTTTCAAAAATGCACATGTATGCAGATGATACACAATTGTACCGTTTCGGTAGTAAAACAAATTTGTTAATGTTGCAAAATGAAATTAACAGTGATTTGGAAAATCTTATTGACCAGTCTAGTAAACACGATTTGCATTTAAATTCAAACAAGTCATATTATTATATTATTTGGTTTAACAAAAGATAATATTACAATTAAACTAAAAAATAATATTCTAAAACCTATTGAGAAATCGAAAAATTTGGGTGTTATTATTGATCAAAATCTTAGGTTTTCTTATCACGTCAATAATATTTTAAAGAATGGATATTCCAATCTAAAGCTTTTGTATGCCAATCGGATATATCTGTCACAAGAAATTAAGTTATTACTGACAGAGTCATTGGTACTTTCGCATGCCAACTATTGCGATTATGTCTATGGACCATGTTTACGAGTCGTTGATCAGAACAAACTCCAAAAATTACAAAACTCCTGCCTTAGATTAGTCTACGGTATTAGGAAATACGATCGAATTAGTCATAAGCTTATAACAGCAAACTGGTTAAATATGGCCAATAGACGTAGATTGCATTCTCTTACGTTTTTTCACAAAATTATATCTGATAAAAAACCACCTTACTTGACAAGAAAAATTACTTATAGAGAAGACGTTCACAACATTAACATACGTTACAAACATACAATAACAATACCGAACACAAAACAGCCTTATCTATAAGATCTTTTTCATACACTATTGCCGCTTTGTATAATGAACTGTCACTTGATATAAGAAGAAAATCTCTAAATTCATTTAAATATTACTTAAAAAAAACTATTTTTCAAGAGCAATGTAGATATTATCTTCAGATCCGTTAAAACTTCTTCTCTGAAAGCTTTCCTATATCTTGTTTTATAAATACGATTTTGTTATTATTATTAATATTATTAATATTATAATAAAATCAATCTACGAAAAGAGGTTATGTTGCCATAAGCAGATGTAGATGTAGGTATTAGCCTAAAAAAAAATTCTTTGAAAGCTTTTTTATGACCGTTTTATAATATTATTGTTACATATTTTTTTTATCATTATTATTATTATTAATATTGTTATTATTAACAAATATTATTATAAAAACAATCTAGGAGAAAAGGTTATGTTGTCGTAAGATAAGATGTTATTTTATAAGTATTTTTTTTTATTTATTTAGGGTATTATAATATATAATTACAAATTTAGGTTTTACTTTGCGATAGGTCCTTATGGAAGAACAGCTTTGCTGAATAGGCGCCTTTTAACCAACCTATTTATTAAATTGAATTCTTTTTTTTTTAACAACTATTGTAATCTTTTCCGTTTGTTGGTTAATAAAGATTATTATTATTATTATTATTATTAACCCCTTACACTTAATACTGTTGTATTATTTGTAAATAAGCCTTGCATGATTATTAGGAGCATTTAAATAGACTTTAAACGATTTCTCCTTGT